CCAACTCTTTCCGAATCCTCTGCAATGTCCTCAGATTGGCATCAAAACACTCTGTTATATTCGTATTGGAGCATTCGGCGCGACTGCCAAGCATGCCGTTTCCAAATTTCTGGTGGAGTGAATTGCTTTTTTTTCTCACAGACAGTGCCCACTTGACCCTACTATAGCGTGCAGACAACAAAATCAAGAACAAACAGCGCGCATGCGAGAAATTAAAAATATAAAATGACGACAATTTATCCATCGCACCCTATGTATGTGTTTGTGTGTATGTGTTATCAAAATCGGTCATCATCAGGGGTATGAGTAAGAAAAGTCTGGACTCGTGATAACTCTGGAATATTATGTACATAGTCACATTTGCAAAACGGTATTTATATATTAGAGAAAAGGAAACAACAAATTTAATAGAAATAAAAGAAATGTCTATTCTTTTTCAGTAAGACCATGTTTACAAGAATAATTACTGCTAAAATGTACTATTAAAAATCCAGAGCTACCTCATTCGGAAAATAGTTATTTCAATTCACATATTTTTTTTGGCGGGGGACCTTATCAAGAGATGTTAGGAAATGATTTAAGAGCTTAAAAATTAAAGATTTAAAAAAAAGAAGACGAGGAAGAGAGAAAAGGGGAAACAGAAAAAGAGAGAGAAGAAAATGAATTAGTTTTAATATTTCATATTATTAGGATCCACTTGGATTATTACCTGTATATGTATGATTCCATTGATAAAAAGATTATTATTGAGAAATCTACTCGGAGGATTAAACGCGTAACAACCTTTTTTTCATTTTGTTATTTAATGACCAACTAATAGGCTAATATATAGAGTTTGCATATCAAATTCTCAGATAGATAGATAGATAGATAGATCGATAGATAGATAGATAGATAGATGTTTTTGCTTCAATATGCTGTGCACTTTCTACATATATACGTAATCCACACTAGTGTGTGAAAGTGAACGCTATTTAGATAAAAATCTTTCGTTTTTATACAAGAGAAAACCCAAAGTAGAAACAATAAAACATGTAAATTCATTCAAACTGAGAGTAAAAGTAAATAAAACTGAAATAGAGAGATATAAACCTAGATAGATAGATAAAATAGACAGAGATAGATAGATAGATAGATAGATAGATAGATAGATAGATAGATAGAATAGACATAGATAGATTTTTTAATTAGGTGTCAATTCGTTCTCATTTTTATAGTTATTTATTTGGCTTACTTCAATTTTGCCACAAGGACAAACTCTGAGGCTCCCAGTAGGAATCACAATTTTATATACCTTTACGCTGAAATATACTGACATATGCCTTTTACTCTAAAAATATGCTATACATATATATATATATATATATATATATATATATATATATATATATATATATATATATATATATACTTGTTAGTATGGGTGCATATATACGTTCGTGAATCTGTTAGTATGTATATACATACGTGTGTGTGTATGCGTGGACATTTGACTGCACTATACTAACACATCCGTAGATTAAAAAAAAATGAAACCCAGAAATGACGGGATTGCAATACGTTTCACACGCGCACACATAAAAAAAAGAAGAAAAAAGCTGACTGACAGACGGAGAGAGAGAGACACACACACGGTCCTACCTGTTATCATGGGGGACCGTCTCTTTCCTCGGGCCGCTGCCCTCTGTCTCTGTCCCCTCTCTCTCTCTCTCTCTCTCTCTCTCTCTCCCTCCTTCCCTCCCTCCTTTTGTAACCATACGACAAGTCACCGTATCCCACAATCCCAACTTCTTTTATATCTTTACACTCCTTTCTTTACCCGCTAGATTTTGCTAAATCGTACTGTCCATTGACACAAGTCTCTCTCCCACGCGATCTACCTGGACCACGTTAATTACATGTCCTACGTTGACAGCTACGAACCAGATGTGTTCTTAGTGGCCAACGGCCGACGCGCCCCCTGGCGACGAAACGCTGAGTTTTTGGTAGGACACATTATGTGTAGAGAAACAAGGAGGAAGGAAATATGGGCACGTGATCTAAACTCATCCGTCCGATCTTCCTTGTTTTATTTCATCTTCGCGCCCATTTTTGCTCCTAAGTATTTGCCTGGTTTGGTTTAGGTTAGTCTGGCACAAGACTATAGTTGTGGGGGCTGTTAGAGTTTTTTGTGTATATACTGTATAACTAGTGAGCCAATCAAAATACCCTGACTCACTTTATAGTCTACCAATAGAAGGTTGACCAATCAGAAGCCGCAGAACATTGTATCCGTCGTGTATAAAGGCGACCATCTTTCTTTATCCTACCGGAATGACCAGAGCCAACTTGTCAGGCGAACATGACAGATGGAAGAACTACGCTCTGCTACTTTGCTGCGATATCCACTGCGAACCTGCACTACGCTTTCCTACTGTCTCCGAAATATTCACTGCCAACCTCTGGATTCTATACTCGAAGACAACCGTCATGAATTTGTAACAGGGACGTCCAATGAAGAACAGGCTTACGTCACAATAATTGTCGGTCTTCGTTCTTCCTCCTCTCTGATACAGGGCACTTTTCTACGATAAATAAAGCATATCGAAAACAACATATTTTTTATTTATATACAGTGGGGAGAATATTTGTACACAAATTTTAAATTTATTTTATTTCTAACTAACGAATAAACATAGTTTTTATATAATTAATTATCCATTTTATCGTGTGAAAAAAAGTATTTGTACAATACAAAAAGAATACATAATCTTCATTTACTACTTTGAAGAATAGCCATTATTCACTTCTACAGCAAGCAACCTCTTCTTATAATTCTCAATTAATTATTTGCAAATTTCAGATGGTATTTTGTTCCAGTCTTCTTCGCATATGGTCTTCAGATCCGGGATGTTTGCTGGAGCTCTCGATTGGATTTGAATTTTCAAATAGAGCCACAGATTCTCGATTGGGTTTTAATCTGTGAACTGTGGCCATTTCAGGATAATTACTTCATTTTTAGCAAAGCCATTTCTTCGTAGATTTTGCAGTGGGCTTAGGATCATTATCTTGTTGGAAGATATAATCAGGTAGAAGTTCAAGATTTTCAACCGATATATATATATATATATATATATATATATATATATATATATATATATATATATATATATATATATATATCGACTAGTCTCTTCCGTCGGATCCGACGTATGAGGGTCAAACAGGTCAGTTCCCAGGAAACCGACAGCCCGACAACAGCATATGAGAATTGATTATAATGGTGAGGGTTCATCCACGCTTTTTGAAGGCACGGTGGAGTAATGGATATCGGCTTGGATTGAGGAATCGGAGAGCCGAGTTCGAATTCCACTCGAATCCATTACATTCACTTACGTGCTAATACCCTTGGGAAAGGTATGAATCCTCTTCTTCTCCCTCCAGCTATGGGTAAATAGCAGGACAGACGGGGTTCTATAGCCTTGGATGGCAAGAAGAAGGACAACTCTGAATTCAAAACCTGCGGAGGGTCGTTTGGGGACCTTGTGGCACGTAGTGCACCAGGTGTCTGTATTCGGTCCTTCAAAAGTGTGATATATATATATATATATATATATATATATATATATATATTCGAAAATTATTTGTTTAAAAAAAAACTTTTTCTTGTAGAATAAAGAATTTTAAAAAAAAACCCAAAAACTCTTAATTCTACATTCAACACCTTCACTTGATAAGACACCAGAAATGTTGAAACAAAATGGCTATTTTGTAGTGATTTTATAACATGTTTATGTAATAATTTTCAAATAAATTATATTTGCTTTACGTTGTATTGAGCACACTTTTAAGAATATTATTTTTGGTTATTGGAATTTATTCTGTTTGCACCTTCGTTTGATTAACAGTTCCTCTTATCGCACTTCTCGCTTGTGCAACTCTATTCAGGCTTCTTGCGTCTCAGTCAACTTTGATCTTCAAAAATGAAAATGCAATGTCAATGTTATCTTCTGTCGTCTTAATTTGCATTGTTTTATTGTCCTCTCTCCTTAATAGTCGTTTTTTTCTCACATTCTGTAACACTCAGAAACCTCTTGCTTGGAGTGAAATGATTAATACACACACACACACACACACACACACACACACACACACACACACATATATATATATATATATATATATATATATATATATATATTAATGAGAGAATACGCCATTAATGCTATCGGTTGATGGCCGCCATTCAAAGGTTGAAGAAACAGGATTGGTTAGAATTCAAGAACTACGTACAGATTCTTTCTCTATTCCTTTCTAACAGAGACTACCTGAATATGAATTCAAATCGCAAGTCTGAAATAAGAAAACAAGACAAAATATGTCAAAATAATGTCATCGTAAGTTCTATGCTAACAGTTTCTTCTATCGCACTTCTCGCTTGTGGTACCCTCTTTCGGCTTCTAGATTTTCACACAATTTTGATCTTCAAAAATCTAAATGCAATATCAATCATTATCTTGTGTCTTAATTTTCAGTCCTTTATTGTTCTCACTCCTTAATAGTAGATTTTCTCATATTCTCTAAGACTCAGTAACCTCTTGCGCCCTAGGGGCTTTATTGCCTTGCTTGGGGTGAAATGATTAAAAAATATATATTTATGATTGTAAGGAGAAAATTTTGACAGTTACACCGCCTGTCCATTTTGGCCAAGAGTTTCTTTGAGCAAGATTTGGCATGTATCAGTCCGTGTGAACGGCTTATCAGGCTCTCAACTTTCGGTTCATTACCATCCGAGTTAATACAGTTTTCTTTTATCTTTCGTTTGTCACTAATAATTATCGCCCTTTCCATTTTTTTCCCTTCTCTTCGGACACACATGGCTTAGCACCACGAATTGACATCTTGTAACATTGACCACAGGCACCAATGACAAATGCGCACAACATATAGCAACCAAGATGGCGAATATAAACGTGCACACACACACACACACACACACACACACACACTCACATTCACATTCACACGACGCTAAGCCAGGAATCATTTTTATGGATCATTATGGAAAGAAAATTAATAATAACTTTTACAATACGGTGATTAACCACAATGCTATGATGGACAGATAGATAGATAGACGTGAATAAGTTGTGATAGATAGATAGATAGATAGATAGATAGATAGATAGATAGATAGATAGATGTTTAAAAGTTGAGATAGAAAGATAGATGTGAATAAGTTTGGATAAATAGATAGATGTGAATAAATATAGATAGATGTGAAAAATAAAGATAGATAGATAGATAGATGTGAACAAGTTTAGATAGATAGATAGATAGATAGATAGATAGATAGATAGATAGGAATAAGCTGAGATAGATTAATAGTTTTCACCCTGTCTTTCCTGCTATTCAACCCATAGCTGGGAGGAGAAGAGATGGAGTTATACCTTTCCCAAGGGTATTTGCACGTAAGTGAATATAACAAACTCGACTGGAATTCGAATTCCGCAATCTTATATTTATATATATATATATATATATATATATATATATATATATATATATATATATATATATATATATATATTATTGTTCTTACCTGTCTTTTATAAAGCATTGCATTAGCATATATGTATGTAATTTTTCTGTGTATGTATTTTGTATGTGTGCGTCTTTTCTCTTAATTGAATGTAAGTCTATTTTTTTTATTCCAACTATTAATTATGCTGTCATATGAACAGAAAGAGCCAAGAAGTATATTTTGTGAAAGTGTGGGTAGGGTGAGGAAAATCTTGCATAAATTTGATGAGAACAAAAGATTTGACCGCTTTCAATTATTCTTGGTCTGGTGTGAATGTCGTAGATGTGGACAACGGCCGACCAATTTTGCTGTACTGAACGAAACGCATCAGCTTAATGGCAGGTAGAAAGATATAGGCTAAGACCGCAAAAAGTGAACGTCCTGACACAGCAGGGCCTGCACTGAAATTGCACGCATAAACCGCTAGAGTTACCGCTCCTAGGTTAACGATTTTCCCGCTAGTTTCTTCACGTTTTCCCGCGCTTTTTGACACAGATTTTGTCGTTCTCCCCACTGGGTATAGCAAGTTCGTTGTATATTGTCGTCGTCATATTAATTTGTTTGTTTATTGCGTCGATGTTATTTATTTGTTATATGTTAGTTTAATTTATATTTTACTTCATGTTTTAAGTAGTTATTTTTATGCAATTCAGTTATCTAATTGTTTGGGTTAGAGTAATATAATAGTTATCAATACCAAAAACAGAACCAGCAAACCGAGTTCAAACCCCGGCTGTTTATCTTCACGCCATACTAGTGACCATGATTCATATTCATGTTTCACTTCACGAGCGAAGATTTTTTTAAAATCATTTCTCCTCATGTAGGTCGATAATGCTAGTAAGAACCAAAGAGTTACTAAGACAGAAAGAAAAGGAAAGAAGCACTATTGAGTAGAAAGGGCAATAAAATAACAGGTTTCAGAAAGACATAAGGTTGCAATTGATGTTGCATTTCAATGTTTGATGATTGTATTTAACAGACAAAACAAGAAGCCGAAAGAGCGAGAGAAGAAACTACCAGAATAGAACTTGCGTTTTTTTACTGGTTATTTCAACTGTAAAATGTCGCCAACCGAGTACTTCGCTTGAATTCATGAGGATGGGATATCAATGAGGAAAGCGCATTAGAAGAAATTCCATGAAATATTCATAGAAAAGCCACAGGAAAATCACGTTACGGCGGTGATTTGTGGGGGTGGATTTTCTAGGCACGTTGCAGGATCTCAAGAGGCAACTTTCTCTATCGAGTGAGAGATTGTCTATCGATCATCAGAGGATCTGTTTTTGCAGAATTGCCTCTTTTTTTTTTTTTTTTTTACGACTCCGTATTTTTTTTTCGGTGGTTGTTGTTGCCTGAACCGGTTCAGTTCAATAATGTATTTTTAGAAATCGTGACCTGCCAATCCTTCTGATCGATTTCTTAGTTCAATAACATTGAATCTGTCCCTTATGGTTCGTTAAGACTCGTATTTGGGTTTCAAAAAGACAGGCCAGGAAGATTATTCCGTTTTTGAAGAAAAATCCATCCATGGTATCCTTATTTCAACCACCGCTTTTATTAAATGGTCCCCCCACCCTTGAATTTAGGCCACGAGCATCCTTGAACAGAGGGATTCATTAGAGAAAATGATTCTAAAAAATACTTAAAAATTTTAGTCATCTGTTATACTCTAGGATACGAAACAGAGTGGAAACGAATGATTCGAGAGTCTGAGAAATATTTGCGTACTCGCTTCGGCAGTACAGACACTAAAATTAGAACGATACACAGAAGATTAGCATAGCCCCTACTCAAGGATGACACGTAAATTCGTGAATCGTTCCATATTTAATTTCAAAGAGTAATGGACAGCGGCTCGGTTTGAGGAATCGGAGAGCCGAGTTCGAATTCTAGTCGAATCCATTACATTCACTTACATGCTAATAACCTTGGGAAAGGTATGGATCCTCTTTTTCCGCCATCAGTTCTATGTAAATAGCAGGACAGACCGGGTTCTATAGCCTTGGATGTCAACTGGTTTACCGCAGAAAGAAATGGCAACCTATCGAAAGATACATGATCTCCTAAGCGTGTATCACGCATGGCACATAACTGACTGACCCTTGGGAAAGCTATGAATTCTCTTCTTCTCTCCCCCAGCTATGGGTAAATGGCAGGACAGACAGGGTTCTATAGCCTTGCATAGCAACTGGTCTACCGCAGAATGAAATGGTAACCTATTGCGGGAAAAAAAATCTGCCTCGTCAGTCATGTATCGAAAGATACATGATCTCTTAAGCGTGTATCATGCATGGCACATAACTGACTGAACCTTGGGAAAGGTATCAATCCTCTTCTCTCCCCCATCTATGGGTAAATGGCGGGACAGACCGGGTTCTATAGCCTTATATAGCAACTGGTCTACCCCAGAAAGAAATGGTAACTTACTGCGAGAAAAAAATCTGCCTCTTCAGTCATGTATCGAAGGATACATGATTGCCTAAACCGAGCCGGTTTCAAGTACGTTGAGTCTACCGCCTGTTTCTCCCTCAAGTAATGGGGGCGCAGATCGGAGCGAATATTTTTCCTTTCAATTATGGATTTTGCTAACTTCTCTACTGTCTTGATTTTAACATTACTTGGAGCAGCATTTATTGCTTCCAAGAAATCTTTCTTGCTTTAATAATATTTTTCGTCTTCATTTGCCTCTCTTCTCACCCAGCCACCAAACTTAGTGGTTAATTAGTAAAAGGTGTATTAGTAAAAATTATTAGTAACTAAAAAAAAAAAAATTATTACAATATAAAAATATTTATTTTGTTTTAAGTTACCTGCAAAGGTTTGATAAGCCGTAAAAAATCAAGTCCAACAAAATCTACTAAAAACAGATATTATTAACTGATATTCACATTGTATATTTACCATATCAGTTTAAATATATCCTGAAACATTTTAAAACCTTGGTTAGTTAATACCAATTTTATTGTAAAAAAAAAAACAAACTAATTTGCGTAATAAATTATGACAGTATTTAATAAAGTTCACATGTGAGCGGGTCAAGTGAATGATGAGAAATATGTGCCGAGTTTGAAAACCGGTAAATTACAAATGTGGATGAAAGGGTCGGAGAGATTAGGTGTCGATTAAGTTCACTTTATGTTTGTTTTTGTTTTTTTTGTTTTTTTAAATATTCTTCGTTAGTATTTCGTGTAAGGGCCCCAAGTGCATCCAGGACAAAGTCAATGATAGTTTTATGAGTGGAAGAAAATATGGTAGAGAGAAAATGACAGAAAAGAAAGCGAATGTAAAGAAAAGAGAAACAAGGAAACGAATGAAAAGTCAAAAAAAGGAGAAAGAGACGCGAAGATGAAAAGAAAGAAAGAAAGAAAGAAAGAAAGAGGAAAAGAGAAAGAAAGAAAGAATAGAAAGAAAGAAAGAGGAAAAAGAGAAAGAAAGAAAGAATAGAAAGAAAGAAAGAGGAAAAAGAGAAAGAAAGAGAAAGAAAGAAAGAATAGAAAGAAAGAAAGAAAGAAAGAAAAAAGAGAAAGAGAAAGAAAGAAAGAATAGAAAGAAAGAGGAAAAAGAGAAAGAGAAAGAAAGAGAAAGAAAGAAGAAAGAGAAAGAAAGAGAGAAGAAAAAAAAAAAAAAGAAAGAAAAGGAAAGAAAGAAAGAAAGAGAAAGAAAAAGGCTGAAAAAAAATAAAAAAAGAAAGAAAGAAAGAGGAAAAGAGAAAGAAAGAAAGAGAAAGAAAGAAAGAATAGAAAGAAAGAAAGAGAAAGAAAGAAGAAAGAGAAAGAAAGAAGAAAGAGAAAGAAAGAAAAAAGAGAAAGAAAGAAAAAACAGAGAAAGAAAGAAAGAAAGGCTGAGAAAGAAAGAAAGAAAGAAAGAAAAAGAAAGAAAGAAAGAAAGAAAGAAAAGGAAAAAAGAAATAGATGAAAAAATTTGGAGATTTATAAGAAAAAGTAACTGAATGAGAATCAGTATATGGGGGACTGGTCCGGGAAAAAGAAACTAAAATGAATGAAAAATGCCGTAGAGAAGAAAGGAAGTTAGAGAGGGTGAAATAAGGAAACAAAATAAATACCAACAATGGATAAGCATGGAAATATGCGATAAAGTTCAAATTTGGAACCTGGCCGGGGGATTAGAACGTTCTGTCCATGAGACCCGGGTTCGAATCTCGCCATGTGCATTTTATCGAATCTAATTATGGTCATTTTTTTTTTTTAATGAATTGTTGATTACGCACGTTATGGGGTGGCGATCCAAACGCGGGCACCTTTGGAAGATGTCTGAAAACCATTCCTTTTGAGCCAAATTTGATAAAAGGAACCGTTCGGAAGACATCGATGATTTTATATATATATATATATATATATATATATATATATATATATATATTCAAACACGATATATATATATATATATATATATATATATATATATATATATATATATTCAAACAATATATATATATATATATATTCAAACATATATATATATATATATATATATATTAAATTCAATATATATATATATATATATATATATTCAAACACGAGATATATATATATATATATATATATATATATATATATTCAAATATATATATATATATATATATATAAATTCAATATATATATATATATATATATATATATATATATATATATATATATATTCATATACATATATATATATTCAAAACGATATATATATATTCAAACACGATATATATATATATATATATATATATATATATATATATATATATATATATATATATATATATATATATATATATATATATGTTCAAACACATTTGAATAAAAGAACCGATAAAATCTGTCTTTAATTTTTTATTGCCTTTTTCCAATTTTCGGATAAAGCATTGTGCTCGAATCTGTGGATAAACTGCCTGAAGTTTACAATGCACAAAACACCTTATCCGAAATATATATATATATATATATATATATATATATATATATATATCTTCAGACTGGTTTAGGTTTCGTTAAATAATTTAAAAACGTTCTGTCTACGTATTTTCGATAAGATCCTTTCATATTCGCGAATAAGCTTTTTCGTGCGGTTGTTGAAAGACGAGAGGAAAAACCGTCTTGGCTCATATTGTAATTTATTGCGAGAACTTTCGACATACCATCATCATCAGGGTATTATTAAATATAGAGTAAGTATTTCGTGTTCATGGGTATGAAGGACAAAAATTGTTGTGGTCATTCGAAGATTACTGTTTTTATATGTGGAGTGATGATGACATTTTACAAAAATAAATGGAGTTCAATTCATTCAGGCACATGGAAATTGAACTCCACTTATTTTTGTAAAATTTTGTCTGAAGAGATGGACATCTGAGTCAACAAATTAAATTATCACCTATTGATTTTTAAGGGTTCTGTATTCATAATTATATTGCTCTGTTCTTACATTGAGCTCTCTTTGTATTTATAACCTCCTTGGATTTACCCCTACTAATTATCAAGTGATATTTTATTACATACATATATATATATATATATATATATATATATATATATATATATATATATATATATATATATTATATATACACTGCGTGCAAATTATTATCGAGATTACATGTGTGAAAATTTTGTGTGAATTGATTGGACGGTTTTGAAATATTAGAAAAAAAAGTTATCTCGATAATAATCTGGCACGCAGTATATATATATATATATATATATATATATATATATATATATATATATATATAGCGTACTAATTATATCTTCGTATTTTCAACATTCCATCGTTCTTACCCTCCTTACCATCTCCCCCAACACCTTCACCACATTGTCCTATTTATTATTTCATATTCTCACTGTTCTTAACTGAACTCTCCACGTGTACTAAAGTGCTCGAGTATGGTCACGTCTCTTTTATAGTGTTAAATGGTAAGGGACAAGAGGTCAGAAAAATAAGATACATGATTCTGATATCTGATTATTCAGACAAACCAATATCATCATGATCATCTTCATTTATCATCATCACGATCGCAGCCGTCAATTTCGTCAGCGTCATCCTCACAGTCCTTTTTAAACCAACTCTTATCTTGAATACTGAAATGCATCCTGTTGATAAGCGGATATAAATAACTAAACCCCGTATAATAAAGTCCGTAAAACGAGTTTCACACCTGCAAGTTCTTTCTAATGGAATCTCAAAGTTTCTGGCCCACATTATAGAGTTCAGGTAACACTATTTTATGGTCATACGCGTCATAAAATTGTAAAATTGTTTGTTCTTTTTGTAATCTTTTCGTTCTGATGCTGAACTGAAAAGGACAGAAGGAACTTCTTTAAGTATCTATTATTGTTCATTATCGTTCATAGTGTTTTTCAATGGGAGGCGTTTGAACACGTAACTGTAATTTATGAGCCACAAAACACACACATATATATATATATATATATATACGCATATATATATATATATATATATATATATATATTCCGACAGGTTATATTTCAACACAAAACGCCTCCAAAACAAAACTGTTATCATTTAAGCAAACTTTTTTTACCTACCATTAAGAGTGTAGCTCATTGTTCTAATGTTTTCCACTGGAATGAAGTGGAAAGATTATATTAAATGTGCGCTAGGAAAGTTGTTCCCCTCTGTTGGGTTAGACATTTTTTTTTCCATCCAGAATCTACAAATTTATAAGTCAACCTTTCGTCCTTGCATTGAATATTGCTTCTACATCTGGTTTGTATCTTTCTGCTGTGTATCTGGAGATTCTTAACAGAATCTAACTCAGAATCTGAAATATTATCGGTCCTGACCTGGCATCTTGGTTTCAATCACTTCCCCATCACCGTAACGTAGCTTCCCTCTGGCTTTTCTATAAATATTTTCATGACAATTTTTCTGATGAGCTTTACTCTTTAGTAACCCGACTTCATGAATTTAAGCGCAGTACTAGATCGGCAGCTAGGTCTCATCAGTTTACAGATGAAATTACTCAGTATAAGCGTAAGTTCTATACTGGTGCTTTCTTCTCTTGCACTTCTCACGTGTGGAACTTGCTTCCGACTTTTTGCTTTCCTCAACTACGATTTTCAAAAATTTAAATGCAACGTCAATCGGCCGTCTCCATGAATCCTGTTCTTTTAATGACCTCTCTCTTCTCAAGATTTTCTCCATAGCTTCCTTTGCGCCTTAGTGGCTACACCGCCTTGGTTGATGTGAAATGATAAAAAAAAATATTTCTATACGATTCGTGTGTAGATTGTAAATTTTAGATCTCATTACATTAAAAGTGAAAACGAAAGAAAATTTTTATTTCAGGAAAGGAAAAAAAACGTTGTACAAACAGTAAGAAAGATATTTGCTATGTATTGAAATGGTACCATATGGTACCATATGGTACCATTATGATGGAGTAAGGGATAGCGGCTCAGATTGAGGAATCGGAGAGCCGAATTCCAGCCGAATTACGTGCTAATACTCTTGGGAAAGGTATGAATTCTCTCCCCCCCCTCTTCTTACCCCTATGGGTAAATAGCAGGACAGACCGGATTCTAAGACTTGGATGGCAACTGGTCTACCGTAGAAAGAAATAGCAACTTACTGCGGGAAAAATTCTGCCACGTTAGTCATGTATCGTAAGATACATGATCGCCTACGCATGTATGGCACAAAGATCTTCCACGTTGTTTCCCATGTGAACATTGTAAGGCAGTCATGTGCAAACTGCGGTGCGAATGACTTTCTGAATGGCATGCCTAATTTCATGAGGAAAATACCGTTTATTAAAATCTTTGTTTTCTTTTCGTTCTCACTTGTTCACTCACATACTCTCTCATGCATAACCACAGACATAAACAATGATTAAGTACTTGAATTTTGTAACATTTCATTGAAGGTAACGTTGTTAGCACTTTCAACCATTGGCGATTTTCATTACGGAATATCATACGTGTATACGTCAGTGATTATTATTCTTTTACAAATATTTTTGTTTAATCTATGTGTATTAATCACCTGTCAGCAGTGAAAACGCTATACCAAGATTTTTTAAATTATGCAAGAAAAAAAATATCTGTCTACATTTCTGAGATGAGGTATTGTAAACTGTCTATCCTGAGTAATTACTGACGGTTTGTGCCCGATATATATATATATATATATATATATATATATAATTCTTAATATTATAAATGTTATTTTTAGTGGTTACACGTGCTTGAGATAGCAACGTAATCCCGTGTGCTCACAAACATTTATAATAATAAAAAATAATGTCGGATAAAAAAATAATTTAAAAACTTACTGTTCAGCTTCGGGTACGAAACTGATTTATATATATATTAAAGACATTTTTATGTTTAACATTCTTTTTATAGATACAAGTATTTAAGTAAATGCTCTGTTTATAATAAACAGTATTAAATAACATTTACCGGCCTGAATGTCCGAGAAATTTTCGTAGAAAATATTCGTCCTTTGACAGGATTCGAACCTGCATCCTATACGGAACCGTCATTTAGCTTGACGTGCCTAACCATTCGGCCAAAAAGGATCCCTCGGTTGGCAGGGTCGAATTTACTGCTTATAAACTTCAGCCTTTGTGGCCGAATGGTTAGGCACGTCAAGCTAAATGACGGTTCCGTATAGGATGCAGGTTCGAATCCTGTCAAAGGACGAATATTTTCTATGAAAATTTCTCGGACATTCAGGCTGGCAAATGTTATTTAATACTGTTTATTATAAACAGAGCATTTACTTAAATACTTGTATCTATAAAAAGAATGTTAAACATAAAAAATTCTTTAATAAATTGTCGGACTTTGTCCATTTTCTTTTAATATATATATATATATATATATATATATATATATATATATATATATATATATAATATCGCTAATAAAGCATTGCCCGATTAATAATAACAGATTAATTAATAATAAATATACATTTTTCCTCACCGGTAATTAAATCTGCACCTGACGACTGCGTTGTGCATGAAACTCAGAGTTGTTCTACAAGAGATGAAAAATGTATATTTATTATTAATATATATTAGAGAGAGAGAGAGAGAAAGGGAGAGAGAGAGAGAGAGAGAGAGATAATGTCAGTCATTGTTAATTTTTAAGGCCTATACTTCCTCCCACTTTCAAGTAACCCGGAGATGGATTTTTTTTTATCGACGCTTTTGTTTGATTGATTCATTTGCTACTGTTTATCAACCCTTTGCAGGTTATTTAAAGCCAGAAAATAAATTAGCTGGAGGGAGAAGAGGTGGCTTCATAACTTTCCCAAGGTTATCTGCGCGTAAGTGAATTTAACGAACCCAAACTGGAATTAGAACTCGGCTCTCCGATTAACAATTCGCAGCCATTATGCGTTACACCACCTACACATCCAAACTTTCAGCACCAAGTTTTCACCCATCTGGGTACTGACCAGGCCCGACTTTGCTTAACTTCGGTGACCGTACGGGAACCGATTTTTAAACGTTATATGGCCATAAGGCTTTTATCAAGACCCTATCACTGTACAGACTTTCCAACAAAATCTAAAAAGATTCTATTTCTCCATTAGATAGTAACTTGTGACTTTGTGTTAGCGTAGCCATCGGCATCTTACGAACGGAAAAGTTCGGATTCATTCGCGTCGCGGGAAGCCATTACTGGCGTTGTTTGCATACATTCACTGCAGAATAGCTATCACTGTAGGTATCATTGTACAAACTGAGCGTGTCTACGTAAATAGTTCTCGTACGCAGTAATTGAGACAAATTTAGACAAGAAAGATCATTTCCGCGCTTAGCTTTCCGTAGTTTTCCGCGTTTAGCTTTCCGCGGCGAATGTACGCAAACAACGACAATAATGGCTTCCCGCGACGCGAATGAATCCGAACTTTCACTGTCGGTAACTTCAAAACGGAGGATTTTATCAAATTTATCAAGCCAGATCCGAATGGGGCATGTACAAGTACACATAAATGTAAGTATTCTGGAAATTCTTAATGCGAACTAAGCGCGGGTGTTACACTGCAAATTAACCGCCTGGTTTTACTGGTGATACGTTTGATTCCAATATGTCGACTCCGATTTCATGGTTACGTTATATTACACTATGGGGAAGTGGAGATAATAATGATTTAGAGATACAAGTCTTACTAATTAACTAATTATCTGGAGGGAGAAGAGGTGGGTTCATAACTTTCCCAAGGTTATCTGCGCGTAAGTGAATTTAACGAACCCAAACTGGAATTAGAACTCGGCTCCCCGATTAACAATTTCGAGCCATTATACATTACACCATCTACACATCCAAAATTTCAGCACCAATTGTTCACCCATCCAGGTACTGACCAGGCCCGACTTTGCTTAACTTCGGTGATCGTACCGGTTTTTAAACGTTATATGGCCGTAAGGCTTTTATTGAGACCCTATCACAGATTTCAAAGTTCGACCGTCAACGAAGAAATTGACTGTGTTCCTGGATGCAAAATGTGTGTTGCTCGTGGACTATATGTAATATAGTCAGAGTTCATCCGATTAGTCCCTGTGAAAGAACTTGGCTTGAAACTCATCGTCGAAACAGACCAGTACGTTTACGTAAGAGCATCAGCCTGATGACCGACTACACCACACCACACATGCGTTGAACATGACAGAAGTGTGCCTCAAGTGACATAGCTTGCATCTGTTACCAGGCCTGCTGCATTATGATTTAACCAAAACTCAAGCAATGAATACAACCAGTGAAGCCGTTAACACTCCAAGCCACGAATAACATTAGAAAAATTGAGGTGCTAGTTAAAAGAATAATCCATGTGTTCTTCGTACTTGTATTCTCATTCTGGCTTTATCAATAAACTAATTTGTACATTGAGAAGATGTACAATCGTGTCGGAACTGAAAAAAGATTTAGCAGCAACCAAAGATCCTACAGTAAGATTAAAGTAATAATCTATCCGAATCGAATTCAAAAACAAAAATGAGACATATAATTCTCTCACTTCAGGACAACGAGGTAGCCAGATGCTTTCCGTTTTACAACCGCGAAAACGAGAAGCATGAGAGAGATAGTTATACAAACGACCGTCTTAGAGAGT